GGGGGGGGAGGAGGACGGGCAATTAGCTCGAATTTATTCTTTAGCTTCTAAGGCGGATTTACTGAATGAAAAGACCACCATTATTGTATAAGACATGCTTTTATCGCGTGTGTCAGTCGTTGAAAGTTGCATACAATTTTTCATTACTGGTCCGCCTTATGGACATAATGATGATGATGCTCGTAGACAAACATTTTCTGGCAACTTTAACATTCTAAAAACTTTCCACGACGCTTTAAAACAGCTTAAGGTTTTAATTTTGATCCATTTCGTTAGGCCTGTAATTTTATTGCAAGTGGCAACTTCTTCTATGAAAAATTACCTAATTTTGTGTTCATTCAACTTCTCAGTTCCTTGCAGGATAACTGGTTAAGCTATCTATCTAACGAGACTTTCGCCAAATCTTCTTGGCTCCAATACGTGTATGTATCAAAACGGTCTTGTTCCATACATATCTTTTTACCTTATCTCGGTGCATACCCCGATATTTGATTAGAATGACTGCAGAAAGACAGAGTGTTCAAGAGAAGTTCTTTTAAATCCTATATATGCCTTTTCCTTATCCCTTAATGCCGTAAAGAAATGTTTTTAAATGGATTCTTTCCCTCATAGTATTATGGTTCATATCGTCTTCTTTTCACTAAAGATTCTTGAGCGCAAACAACTTGACGACTATACCATATCGGGCTTTCTACAATCTAATAAATGCAGAGATAATGTAAGTACGGTAGCTTAATGAATAATTTAGGAGTAGATAAGATCCCTCAATGATCTAAAAGTCTGAGGAGCAAAAATCGTTGACTGGCCATGTTGACATGGTGGAGTAGGAATATCCTGTAATCCTTTGTCTAGTTGTGTTGAGCGCTCAAGTATAAAATGCTTTACTCCCTTATGAGTTTTCAGTTCAGTACATCTTTGTCATCGTAGAATTCTGTCAGACAACCCTATAACGACTATCGAACAAGAAGCATTTAAAACTGGATTTTTTGATCATTTCTTCCTAAGAATGTGAGTACTCCTAGTTACAAAAGTAAATATCGTCTTTCTTGTACCAAGTCCAATGTTGTTTTGATGCATTTCTTTACATGCATTAAATGTTTCAAGGAGGTGGCTACAATATTACAACCATGAAATAATAATAATAATAATAATAATAATAATAATAATAAACATCTTAGTCTCTTGAACATACTTAAGGATATATGATACGCTGATGATGCAAAATGTCTCAAATGTTTTTTTTTCCCTGGTTGTTGTGGTTTCATTTGAAACGTCTTGAAATTTGTCTCACATTAAATTTATATTCCATTTATTCTACACAGATATTTGCTGCGGACGAAGTTGAAGATGTTGAGCTTGGAGTATCTCTCTGGATTAAGTCAAGCGTCTGCTAAAATGTGATGTATCCACCTTTCGAAATGTTTTCCCTTTTTGAGTAAAAGGCTGTCTCAAAAGCTGAAGAAAACGTTACCTTTCGTCCTTATCAGTTTTACTTTGATATATTGATCATGTTATGTTTTTACCATATCAAAAATATATATGGTACAAAAAGTTTTTGTTATTAATGATGTATTATTGTTTGCTTCACGAAATGGTCATTTCCGATGTGGATCGCAACACTTTCATAGTCTCCAGACTGAGCAAAAGTTACCGTGCATCTAATGGACAGACAAAAAAATAATGATTAGTATAGAGCCCCATGATAGAAGGTGAATACAAAATGTTGACTTGAAAAAAATATTTCTTTTTCATCCTACTCGGCGTTTAGAGTGATAAACGATAGAACGCTTGCAACCGTGCACTATTCGTCTCGCCATAATAGAAAAGCTCTCTGTTCAGTTTACCTGTAAGTTCATATGCTGTTGTTGAAATATAACAGATACGCAGTCGATAGGCAAACAAGACGTCTTCATTACTTTACTAAATATCTTTTACTCGCACAGACACACAGAAATATATAAATATCGTTTTTTAGAATTTAATCAGCGATACTGAAAATATATGTAACACTAAGTACAAGTCACGTTTGCTTTCAGGAACTAGAAACACAAGATTTTACTTGCTATTTGAATGTCATATACTTATTTGCTTAATATTTTTTCTTCACTTTCTTTAACGTTAACATATAAGGCCACTAACCTCTTCTGCTGCTTTTACTACCACTCGCGTATTTCTCTTTAAAAAGCGTGGAATGATCAAACAAAAAACTGAACTGAAATTCTGGGAATCCAGTTGATTCTCTTCTGCTGCTTTTACTGCCACTCGCGTATTTCTCTTTAAAAAGCGTGGAATGATCAAACTAAAAACTGAACTGAAATTCTAGGAATCCAGTTGATTCTGAAGGAGAAGGCATCATGGTCGACAATATCGCAATAACTGTACAAAGGGCTTTTGGCGCTGCTTTGAAAGCGTCAGGATTTGGGCGTATTCACGTTAATACCACGAACCGGAACATTCATTTTCCTTGCCCATTAGGGACATTTTCAAATTCTTCAACTAAAGGAGAACAAGGCTGCACTCAGTGCACCCCAGGTAAAATCTGTGTACTACTTGTTTATCAGCGTATTAGCCCCATGATAGTTAAGTATTGTCCTGGACAGTATTGAGCCGAAAGGAGTGAAAGGGAAATTGTTGCTCATGATTCCACATCGTTTTCACTTTTTGACAGTTGAACTAGCCAATTTTCTCAATTAAGTGTATGACACGAACAAAGGCTGGCATTGAAAGCCATGAAATGTCACAAGGGATTTCACGAAGAAATTGCAAATTAGAATGTAAATTAAAGTTATCAACCCCGTGTTTATTATGAGGATAATAAAAGCATTTAGTCAACAGATACTGATGCAGTATTGCTCCAGTAATCCTTCCTACTTTATTCATGGCAGTAGCCTTATTTTTTGACTGAGAACGAAGATTGCAAATAACAATCTGGAGAGCATACAAACTCAAAACCATGACACTACAAATTATTTTCATGTCGTCGATCGTTAAAAGAAGATTTTCTGTGTCATTTTTCCCACAGGTGGTTTTTATTCAGATGTTCTCGCCCACGTTGGGATAAATTGCAAGAAATGTCCAACTGGTTCCTATGTTCCCTTTGATAAAGCTCCCGGAAAGCAAAAACAAGATTGCAAATCTTGCCCAGAAGGTAAAAGGTCTTAGGCCCTGTAATACAAAGATTCTCTTTTCTTTTATAAGCTTCCGTCCGCAATCAGCGACCAGTTGAATAAATATCTTCAACAAGTTGTAACTTATTTGGTAAGTTGTGCAGGGCAGATGTACGTTCTGCAGACTGCCGACAATGTGCTTGTGAACAAAGCGTGCAGTTGTCAGTGATACAGTGTTGCTGCTCATGACTGCGTTGTAAATTGCGCACTCGTGATAGCATATCTTCATCGTCATGTAGAAATGGTCTTTCCAACGAAAAGAAAGGTTTGTCGCTCGGGATTATGAAATAATACTAACAGTGAAGTTCGATTTTCGAAGAGGTGATAAAAAACTCAAGTGGTCTTTTCTTGTTCCCTTAGGAACTGAAACTGACTTCTTTGCTGGTTATCGGGCTTGTAAATGTTTGGAGGGATTCTACAGAACTCACATGTTCGAAAAGTGCTTCAAATGTGGACATGGACTGGAATGTCAAAATGATTACGCTTCTCTAAAACCTGGTTATTGGTGGGATTGGCAGAATGAGTCACACATTGATCGCTACAAAGAATTCATAAAAAACCTCCAGCTATCTCGCCCAGCATTAGATAATTCTAGTGTCCAAATTCCCTACCCGCTACCGACACCTTTCAAGTGTCCAGTCGAAGGGTCATGCATGGGTGGGTTAAACTCTCAATGTAAGAAGGGTTATGAGGGTCCTCTCTGCGCTGTCTGCAGTCCAGGATACTATAAACAGCTACAAATTTGCAAGAAGTGCCCTACAAAGAAGCTGATGATTGCACAGTTAACAATCATTGGTGCAATTTTATTGATAATCGCTTCAATCGTGGTATGGACGAGTAGGAGAAAGAAGAAGAAGATTCAAGAAAGTTCCCCGATGGACATCTTTCTGTCCAAACTTAAGATTGTTATTGGGTTCTATCAGGTCACCTACGGCCTATTGGAAGCATTCTCGTACATAAAATGGCCAGGTTCTCTGCAAGTTATTGGCAAGTATTCTGAAATACTTCAGATGAATGTCCTTCAGGTTGCACCCATTGACTGCCTGTACCCAGGCTTGTCCGTCGATGCGTTCGGAAACTTGTACGCAACGATGGCAATAAATGCAGCTCTCATTTGCGTGTCTGGTGCTATCTACGTCTTTCGGAGAGTGGTCATCTACAGGAATCCTCTTTTGGAAGAAAATGAAAAGGCATCTAAACTGTCCGAGGCAAAAAAGGCTATTTACAGGAATTTGTTTTTCTTGCTCTACGTTACATACCTAAGCACTTGTACCAAAACAGCTAATGTCATGCCACTGACTTGCCGCGAAATTTGCCGAGATGAAAAAGAAACGGGATGCGACAGTTTCCTGAAAGGTGATTACAGCATTCAGTGTCACGTTCCAAAATATGACAAAATGCTAATTGTGGCCTACATCTCTACTGCTTACGTTTTTGTCCTTCCTGTTGCTTCGTTTCTCGTCCTTTGGAGGCATAAACGGAAAATCATACAAACAGAGAGTGACGAGGAGGAAAACTCTGGCATGGAAATTATCACAGGACTGCGCTTCCTTTTCGAAAACTATAACCCTCGCACGTGGTTTTGGGAACTTATCGAGATGTCTCGGAAGGTAATCCTGACTTCCGGTCTGATACTTGTGGGGCAAGAAAGCAGGTCTTACGTTGGCTTAGCATGGGTCATGGCTGGGATGTATGGAATGCTATTTTCGTGGAACAGACCCATACAAGACAAGACCGAGAACAGAATGATGGCGACGTCTCTCGCAGTTACTGTTGTCAACTTAGGAATAGGGGCAGTGAGCAGGATTCCAGCAGAAAATTTGCCGCCAGGCTCCACTGATGCTTACGTGGAGGATGTTTTGTTCAAGATCTTGGTGCTGGGAGCAAACACTTTAGTGATTGGACAAGTTGCTGGTAAGATAAGATCGTAGCTATTCTAAGTCACTATGACTTGAGGTGGCAAAAGTCATCTTTTTTGTGCTTATGTCGTTACTTTATGGAAGAGATTCCTCTATTGTTGCTAGGCTGAACACATTTAGTTGAAAAGCGAAACAATAGTTTTCTGAATCTAAAATCATTCCCATACATCTTAATTTTTAGTTCAGTATGTCCTGCATTTGTACGGATACTTCAAGGAATGGCAAAAAAATCCACAGTGGTCCCTCTCGTGCTTCCTGGCCCTGTTCCTCCCCCTCAGTGGCCTGCAGGCGGAAGTGACCGGTATGGTTGAGACGAATGTCCTTGATAATCAGCTGCAAACAGGGCAAGAGGAGATGCCCACCCTTGTTAGTGCGGTAAAGGACAGTGGTGTCGTTGATGTTACACTCGAGGAAGGCGAACAGCAGCAAGAAACCATGTCCAGGGAAGGTGAAGAAATTGGTAAACACGAGATCGCTAAGGTGTTTTGCGATCGAGGTAGCCAGACGAGGCTGCGTTCACAATCTACCTTTAAGGACGCAAGGAATTGGAATTCACATTTCTAAATCCAAGTAAGTGGAAAACGAGCGCAAATGTTTTAAGTTAATTTTAAAAAGCCATTGTTCATCATAACTGAGCTACGCTGACAGTCTCCTTCATAGGAGAAAGCACTTTAAAGCTTTAGCATGGAGGCTACGCATACTCTTTTCTAGGAACTAGGAAAGGAGCGTCAAGGAAGTTTTTTTAGTTGATTGATGTACGTCTTCATTAAACATTTTTGTGACGCACGTCATATTAATTAATGTTCGCCTCTCCTTTTCAGATTTTCGTTATCAACGCATATATACCACCGTCAAAGGATTCTTTACAAAATAATTTAATCTTGTAGAGAATCTCTGTCTAATCCAAAAAGTTAATGATAATTCTATTACTCCAAGTACTTTAGGCCTCTAACTCCCAAGATCTGATTGTTAATTCTCCTCTCTCGCTGCTACACATTTCCTT